TGATGAGGTTTCTGTTTAGTCACTTTTCTCTTCTTTCTTACTTGTTTTCTTACTTTCTGTTGAATATATATATATATATATATATATATATATATATATATATATATATATATATATATATATATATATATATATACTTATAGCATCATGACATTTCCTGTTGTATGACTTGCATGAGCTTGCTTGTTGAGTTTTAAGTATCTATTTATCTATCAGCCGGAGTATGAGTTTGTGTGTTGAGCTATGTTTTGAGATATCTGTTTAAAGAATGAGATTTGTGTTTAAGTTGAGTACTTGAGAAAGCATAATTATATGATGTATAAGTTGCAAGCATATAGAGTTGTTTATGAGAATGTATTGAGATTGTTGTTTAAGTGTTGTAAGTACTTGAGATTAAGTGTGATTGCCAAATGTTTTCCAAATCTATATCTATAGTACTTTACATGGTTGAATGGCTTTATACTTAGCATTAATTTGCTAACGCGTTTATTTTCTACTTGTTTTTATAACCCTTTCAGGTAGGCCCAGTGTCTGAGAGCACACGAGTTAGATTAATGCGTAGTTGAAGTGGTAGTTTCTAGATTAGATTCTACTTAGATGTTTGATGACAGTTACTTTTAGACTGATCTTTTGTTGGTGCTTGGACACTGGGGTTTGTTCCCCAAGTATTGATGTTGTTTTTGTTGAGCTTGACTCTAGATAGATATCATTTTGTAACCTGTGCAGTCATCGCGAGTGGTGACTGTGGCGGTGATACCCGTTTGTTGGTTTTGGTTGGATTTAAGTTATTTAATCTTACTTATCTATCTTGTTAAAGTTAAAGTATTTTGGGATTTAGTTTTAGAAAAGTAAGGTATTACAAGTTGGTATTAGAGTGGTGCGAACCGCCGGGACATAGGAAGACTAAGCCTTAAGATTGATTATAGGAATCCTAAGTTGAAGTACTAAGATGATCAAGTTAAGGAAAGAAACCCTAAGTGGTGAGATTTAGGGTAAGAAAGACTTTAAGCTAAGTGTTTTAAGAGTAAGGATTCCAAAAGTTAAGAAGTTCTTTAAGTACATCAGTTAGGAACGCGGTGAGATTGTGAGTTTCTTACGCTAGCCTAACTTGTTTATGTGCTTATCTAATGTGTTTAAAGACTTTAAGCTAAGTGTTTTATGTTCTTACGCTCTTTCGCGGGTCATCTTTTTTGTGGCCCCAACCCGCCCCATCGCGGGGCGGGTGTGGGCCAGCCCACGTGTTTCTGCTAACTTTGACAACCCTACCTCTAAGTCTTATTACTCAACCACGACACTACTACAGAAATAACATATAAGGTCGTTTTTTTGGAATACCGACATCAAAACAACAAATAAAATTTATTTTTTAAAAAAATATATAACTTCAATTTTCTTAGAAAATCGACATCGTATATTAGTATATACAAAAAAAAATTAATTTTTTTAATATACAATGTCGGTTTTAAATACAATTACTTATATATAATACAGTTCTATTATATATTATATTCACTTAAAAGTTAAAACTAATTAATAAATTACTTATTCGTAATGGGCATTAGATGCTGATGGCGATTTGTCCTCAAATATATGAAATTTATTGGTTTTATTCAATTGTCTCCAATCACGTGATGACATTAAAGAGATAATGGAAACCCATGTAAATTTATAAATAATTAATACTCTGTAGTTATTATTGATATAGTGATGTCAAGCTAGCACTTACATATAATTTTCTTATACTAATAGGCATCATGTGTCAATGCAACAAGCATATTGAGTGGAAGGAAACAAAGAAGTTCACCAAAATGGACTACATGTTTGGTAAGTACTTCATACACTTTTGTAAAGCTACATATATCTTATTGTTTTATATATATATATATATATATAAAATTGTAATTGTATTGTAATTCAAATGTAGTATGCCTTACAAAGAGGAACTACCGAATGTGGATATTATGTGATGAAATTCATGTTGAAAATTGTTTCCAACCAACTATACGAAGGAATGAATAAGGCAAATAATTTAATAAAATATATTTCTCCTTCAAATTTTTGAAAATACTATCTTATTTATTATTTATCTCTTTTCAACTTTGTAGAATTTTGAGAGACAAGGAAGATTGTCCTACAATCAACAAGATATTGATGAAGTTAGACATTCATGATCTAAGTTGCTTATTGATAAATGTGTTAAGTTTCAAATTATTATTATTAGAGCATCCACACCAAAGCATAATATGGAGATATTAGTACACTATTATGCACATCAACAGATGGGGAGCAAGGATAATACCAAAAATAATCCTCCTGCAAATGCCAAGATAATGGCAGGAAAAAAAAAAAAAAAAAAAAAAAGGATCAGCGCTGCTAGGCGCGTTGCGCCCAGAATGAGAGTTCAAAGCCGCGCACGCGCCCGGAGACGCGTCAGGCGCGCCTGACGCGTCTGTTCACATCATTTTTTTTTATTTTAAAAATTTCAATTTTGTTTTTTTTTTTTGGTTTTTTCTCTCCCCTCCCACATTCTCTTTCCTAATCACTCTTACATTATCCCCCAATTCTTCCCAACTAATGTGGATGCTCTTAATTACTATCAATTGTAGAATTACTATTAATTTAACTTCTTTAGTTGATGGTCTAAGTTGCTTATTGAGATTAATTGTGATATTTATTAATTTGATTAATTGATAAATTTATTAGCGTGATCAATTGTGAGATTTTGAATTTCAAATTGCTGCACAATTCTGAATATTGTTGTGAATTGTAAAATTATAAAATTGTACAGGTTTTGATTGGAAATCATAAAATAAATTTAATAATTAAAAAAACTATAAACGACATTGGTCTTTTAAGCAAACCGACGACGTATAATAAATTTAAAAAAATAAATAAAAAACATAAACGACGTCAGGTTTTTATGAAAATCTGACACCGTTTATTATTTTTTTTTTTAAAATTAAATTAACATATGACATCAGTTTTTTGGAAGAACCAATGTCGTATGTTATTTTTAAAATTTTTTTTCATAAACGACGTCGGTTTTTCTTAAAAATCGATGTCGTTAATTTATTAAAAATTGTTAAATTAATTTATGAAAACCGACGTCGTATGTTGAATTTAAATAAATAAATAAATAAATAAATAAATAAATAAATATATATATATATATATATATATATATGTATATATATATATATATATATATATATGCGGCAGTTGCTTTAGGTTCGGCGGTGCGGCCATATCAGCGTCGTCCATTCTGCTTAATCTAACGGCAGCGGCCAATTTCTGAAGATTTAAAGATTTAAGCGCGTCCTGGTAAGTGGGGGGTGTTATGGTAATTGTAGTGGTTATTTATATCGGTCGCTTGTCAGTATACACCAACAATGTTAACAAAAGACACCAATAGTGTTAGGAAAAAGCACCACAATGAAATGCACAAATACACCAAAAAATACACAACACACCCAAAAAATACACCATATAACTCACCACCCCAATGGTGTATTCTGAACACTGTGTGATGCTTTTAGTCGTACCTAGTGGTGCGATCTGGTGATGCGTATCTAATTTGTGCATGTTTTTTTGTTGTGCATTTTCTAACATGGATGGTGTATATTCGTATAACTATTAGTGTGGTCGCACTGACCGCTCGGGAAGGCACCAACACGAATTCTCAAATACACCACAGTGAGGTTAATAATGCATCAATAACGAACATAAAACACACAACACTATGATTTGATATATTCTGGTGCCCAATGACGACTTTAACCCTGCAGTTCGCGTACTGTGAGAACGCGCGCAAAAATATCATAAAAGCCTTGATGAATGTGATTCGTTGGATTTATCTAATCTAATGGCTTACAATTAACCACACCGCCGCACTTGAACCTTCCTCCCTCTCTCTCTCTCTCTCTCTCTCTATATATATATATATATATATATATATATATATATATATATATATATATATATGTATGTATGTATGTATCTATATATATATATATATATATATATATATATATATATATATATATATGCAACGTCAAGTTTTTGTAATCGACGTCGTATCTTTTGCTTGTTACGTCTACTTGATTGGCGTTGGAAAAAAAATCGACGTTAAATGTGTCAAAAAAACCGAGGTTAAAAGTGTTATTTGTAATAATGTTATCATCATTAATTAATTGGATATAAACTTTTACCATGCCATGTTTATCAACATTCTTTATACTGCTTCCCAAAAGGTTGAATCCCCAAAGGCCCGACAGAGTATCTGGGAAGATGTAAATCATAGTAACTAAACTGAACCACATCACTTATTTCCCACGAAGAGCAGAGCCCCCTGAGAAGTTGCTCCCACACAGCCGCTGGTGGGACTCGATCCATGGTCATTCTTCCCAAACTTCACCCCTGTAACCAGTTGAGTTGCCCAAGTGGGCAACATTCTTTATACTTGATACCATGCACCTCAAATAAAGAATAAAGGCATTGAGTTTGTCAAGATCGATACAAACTCGATCAATGACTTTCCAAAGTTTTAAGACTTCAAAGAGGCTATTTTGCCGATCAAACCATAACCTTTTCCTAGAATAGATATACAAAAATTAATGTAAATAAATATGGAGTTCCTTATCTCTTTCTTAACAGCTAGCCCACCCGCCCACGGCGTCCCTCACCGCTACTGAAAGCTAGCGGTGCGATTGCCACCTGCAACACCAAACGGCTTTCTTTAACGCATGAAGGAAGCCAATTCAACTCTAAACACATTTCTCCATTCTAATCCTGAGAAAGAAACAAAGAGCGAGCAACGTCACCCGCCATGCACGCCAAACAGCTGAGGATGCCTTCTACTACGTGTTTGTTTGGCTAACTCCAATCCCTCTTCAAAACCCAACACTCTCATCATCCTCAGCATCTGCATTGCGAGAAATCCATCCACCAAGGCGTCCTCGATCAGCTTAAAATTTCCTTTCCTTTACCCCTCTTTGTAAGAAATGGCTTCTCCATCCGCTCAAGTTCAGCTGGCGCAAATCCCACCCAGCAGCTCCAACACCAACCTGCGTTCCCGGTCCATAACGGTCGAGCCGGATTTGGAGTCCGGTTCATCAGTTTGTTGCAGAATCTGCCTCGAAACTGACTGCAGACAAGGTGATTGATTTGATTTAAGTAGTCTACTATGTGCAGCATTTTCTTGTCCCGTAATACTACATCACATCTACTGGTCTCATGCATGTTTTGATTGATTATTAAATAAAATAACTGTTGGGTGGAGGTCGGTAAAGGTACGTCTAGCACCCTGAGACTGATAAAGGATCAAATTCAGCACCCAACATCTATTCTCAAAAATGTGATGGCAATCTAAGGAAATAAAGTTGTGCCTTCGTGCTATAGTTTTTGACCTAAGTAATAATAATCACTTGATCCTCGTGCTATAGTTTTTGACCTAAGTGATAATAATCACTTGATCCTAACAATAACAAATGACGAGGATTATATTACATGGGAGTACATCTATCATCAATCATTTTCCTTGCTTGTCTTACTTATCCTTTCCTCTTTCCTAAGGCTTCTCTTTCCTGCAGGTGACAAACTCATAGCTCCTTGCCTCTGCAAGGGCACGCAAGAGTTCATTCACAGAGAGTGCTTAGATCACTGGAGATCTGTAAAAGTGAGCAATAATTTCTATTCCTACATATATACATTAATTCTTGTAATTCAAGAGTTCTGATCTAATGCTTGTTTATATATTACTGTATTGCAGGAAGGTTTTGCTTTCACCCACTGCACCACATGCAAAGCAGCGTTTCGATTAGAAGTGAAAGAGGTGAAGTTTGACATTGTCACAAGAATAAAGCACAAGCTCTTTGTGGTCAGGGACTTTTTTCTTCACTTTGTGATTGCACAAATAGTAAGTATATATAATATAATGTTTTTTGTTTTTTCCTTCTACATTTTCCTAGCTTCATCAACTCTTTGTTGTTCTTATGAGTTCTTATTCCTGCACCTGTTTTCTTCCCAGCTAATTGCCGTGCTTGGTGGCTATGCATACATGATGGATTATAAGGGATTCATTCAAAATTTTGTTGACAAATATTTCACCTTCTTGTCTTCACAACCTTCTATTTCCTTCTACTACAGCATGGGTAAGCATAATTTTCACCTCTAACTTTATTGATGAAAAGATGCAAAATTACTTAGAGCATCACTAATAGTTGTAGTTTTTGAGGAGTTTTTGCAGGTGTGATTAGGAAAGACAAGATGAGAATGAAGAGAAAAAACAAAATCAATATATATAAACAGATTAACGCGCCCAGCGGGCGTGTGGAGCGCACATGCCCAGCTGGGCACATCTGTGTGCCTCACGCCCACTAGGAAGCTTCCTTGCTTTTCTGGTGGGCCCTACTTTTCCTGTAAAAATCAAAGACACTCATGCAGCATCCAATTTTATTCTCTCTTCTGATCTCCCTCTCTCTTGTACATAGGCTTGCTCTCCTCAAAAATCACATAAAAAATCATTGATTGGAATGCCCTTAAGTTGAGACTAAAATAAACTTCTGCTATTTGATTATCTGGTAGAGTTAGAGTCCTGATTCTCTCTCGTTGAAAGGTCATCGGTGTTACTTTGTTAGCAGCTTTTCTATCTATTGATGATGTAAATGAAACAGGAGCACTGGGTTTCCTTATTGTCTTGGGATGTATTTGTTTCATATCAAGTTGCCTCTGGCTTGCTAATTTGGACGGACGTATAGCCCGCGGCCAAAACTGTTTCCTGGCCATGTTTATGTGGAATTTGATACCTGCTGCAACTGTCTTGATATTTATCATATATGTCTTTGAGTTCTGTGGTGTTGCATATGGTTTATTTCTTGCTACCACGGTTGTACATAAGAGTTGGCATAGGCATTATCAAATCCTTATCAAACGAAATCTTACCAAGGTTTAATCCTTCAACTTTGACACCATAATAAATTTTCTTTCAATAGACATATCAAAGTCCATTTAAACAGCCCGTTATTCTTGTTTTAATTCGTTCTCTTAAATGTTGTAGTTGTACGCAGTGGTAGATCAGCATGGCCATTACACTCCGCCGACACTAGATCCCAGACATGAGCAGCATCTTCGATCTCTTAATCTTTTGTAGATCGATGAAGATATTTGAAGGCTTTAAATATCTTGTACATTCCTTGCTTATTTCATTTGCATTGTATGCTTTTTGGAGTTTTATCCCCATTGTATATTTTAATTTTTGATATAGTGAAATGAATTTAACCTTATTTTGCAATACATGTCGGAATATGGACTACATCAAAGAAGCAGAGATGGAGCAGATTGAAGATGAAGAAGAAGATTGATTGTATTCTGATAAAAATGTGTATTACAGAGAAGACAGGCTATATATGAAGTGGTTAAAACAGAAGAGGATTAGGAGGATTGACAAAAATAGCCCTATGCTATTTTATCCTCCAACACCCCCGTAAGCTGGAGCGTGTAGATCCTAGATGCCCAGCTTAGAAACAAAAGAGCTAGAAAAAAAAAACTTGTTAACTTTGTCTGTAGTAGTCAGGTCAAAAACTAAGGTTCACAATCAGCAACTAGTAGAGACTTGATGTAATTCTTTTCTTTTCTTGACTATCCAACCAAACCAACCAAGCATCTTCTGTTCAACTTCTTCGCTTTTTCAGTGGCTAACAACAACTTCTCTATACACTGCTCATAGCCATCTGTGTACTTATTGGCAATAACTTCCCAATTGTCTCTTAGATCAGACAATGTCATACGTGCAAATTGATTTTCTATTGGGATTTGATCAGATTTTGGAGCTGTTGCTATTGTAAGTTCTGCCAAGATGGCACATGAATCAACAAAACTGCATGTCAAATCAAAACCCGAAAATATCATCACTCGGTTATGCTCTCCTCAGAGGGGTACAACAGCTTTCTCAATAACTGGCTGAGCTAACAAAAACTCTGACTCATGTTTAATTCCTTGACAATAAAGTCTTTCAATGATGCCAAGCTCTTCCCCAGTCAAAACCACACTTAAGTTGTCCAGCAACTCCTCTGATTGCAAACAAAAATCCTGGAAACTGTCTGAGGAGTAATTCTCAATCCACTTCTTGTAGGGATGATTACTTTGATGATGTTCGCATAAAACTCCCCGCACCTCCTTACCAAGGTACGCATTAAGACTTATGCAAGATGTGATAGCGCCTAGGATATAAGCGGCCAACTTGGTTTTCTCTTAAGGAGTGAATGCTCTAGCAAGAGGTTTGATCCCATCAATCTTTCCCCACGCTGTAGCCAACAAGAAATCTGTGCACTTAGAAGTTGCTGGATTCGGAGTAGCATCCACATCAGACTCCCATTCCTGGACAAAATAATCATGCAAGTTGAGCTTCTTTTTTTGTAATCTTCCTCAACTTATTAACCTCACTCCTATCATCATCATCGACTGCGTATGTTTCTGCTAACTCAAACGCTTTATCAAATGGCTTGAGGAAATGAACGTCCTGTGCGATGTACTGTCTCAACGTCTCGACCTCGAGAGTCCCCGACGCCACACAGATGATGAAGGGAGTGTAGAGCGCGAATATCGCCTCCTGCCTGAACTTCACCCAGCAAGTCTTCGCTATGCCGCCGACTATGATCTCCTCTTTAGGGAGCTTCGGCGGCGGCTTTGAACTCGAACTAACCGGCGTCCGCGGATTTGATCTCGAACTAGCCGGCCGCGGCGGCTTTGAACTTGAACTGGAACTCGAACTCGACGACATTCTCGGGTAGTTGCGCTCGCAGTCACGTACTACTACCACTAGCAGTGGCAGTGCGGCAGTAACTGCAAAATGGAAATCGGAAAAGCAGTACAATTCTCGCTCGGGGATTGAATTCGACTCATATAGTTCATGAGTCGGACAATCCTGAATGGCAGCAACACCTCCCGATAATTTTGCAATTCTTTCGTTTAGCTTTTGCAGATCGACGAACACAACCACTGTGGCTGAGTCCGAATACTGTTCCCTCTGTTTCAGATTGAGAATCTCACTCTGTAGACTTGAGATTCGGTGTGAGTTTTCCAGATCTTCTGGATTATAGTTTCTTTGCGTGAACAGTTTCCACTGTGGAACGGCTATGGCTATCACCTGAACTGGAGATCGACTCGGAATCGCCAGACGAACTCCTTCCTTCCGCTGCGGATCGACTACATCTGTGGCTGAATCGGAGAACTGCTCGATCTGCTTCAACCAGTGTGAGCTACGAACTCCTTCCTCTGCGGCTGGGGAGGTTCGAGCAATCGGATTCTCCTTATCTTCTAGATTCCTCTGCGGAATTGATCGACTACTCTTCGTAATCAGATTGATTGGCTTCCTCTGCGGAATTAGGGATGTAACAATCGACATCACCGGATGAGCCGTGCTTTGACTCGATTTTCCGGTGACGGTGACAACGGCAGATGACGTAAGAGTGATTACATGAATGGTGGGAGATTGAACATCAGGATTCGTCGGAAGGCATCTTCGATTGGACGCTTCGATGCCGGCGGCGGCGTAGGTGAACCACCGTGGTGGCTCTGATACCATGTCGGAATATGGACTACATCAGAGAAGCAGAGATGGAGCAGATTGAAGATGAAGAAGAAGATTGATTGTATTCTGATAAAAATGTGTATTACAGAGAAGACAGGCTATATATGAAGTGGTTAAAACAGAAGAGGATTAGGAGGATTGACAAAAATAGCCCTATGCTATTTTATCCTCCAACAATACAACATACTATTGAATACCAACTCATCATATGGTTTCCTTATTTATTCTTCTCCCAAAAGATTGAATCCCAAAAGGTTCCAACCCCAAGGGCTTCTCGCACCCTAGCTCACCGAGCATTTGGAATGATGTAAATTATAGTGACAATGTCAAATGTCTGTGCGCAAGGGAAATAAATAGAACTGGATTATACCAATGAATTGTTTTCCTTTGAAAACATAACATCTTAATGTGTAATAAATTGAAAGATTATGTAAAAGAAACAAAAACTAATCAACATCACCCACCACTTATGATGATGCCTTTTAATGCGAGCTTGGTATTCAAAGGCAAACAATCTCAATCTTAGACACATATTAATTAGGAAAAGGAATAAGGTTCAAATTAGCCACTGAACATAACCTGAAAATGCAATTAGATCACTGAACGAAAAAAAAAATGCAATTAGGCCACTGAACACTCCAAATGTATGCAATTTTACCTGATAGCATGTTACCATCAATTTTAGCAGGTTACCTACTTACGTGGCAGCTGAGTTGGCATTTTAAAATAAATTTTAATAAATTGTAATAATAATTTTTTTAAAAAAATTAAAAAAAAAAAACGATGGTAAGCAAATAAAATTTAAAATTTATTAAAAAAATAAAATTTATTATTAAATTTACTTTAAAATTTATTAAAAATTATTAAAAAGTCAACTCAGCTGCCACGTAAGTAGGTAACCTGCTATCCGGTAAAATTCCATACATTTGGAGTGTTCAGTGGCCTAATTGCACGTTTTTTTATGTATTTAGTGGCCTAATTGCATTTTTTTTTTCGTTCAGTTAATTACATTTTCATGTTACCTTCAGTGGCCAATTTGAACCTTATTCCTTAGGAAAATGCTCATTAAGAAGGCTAACTTGTATCTTTTCCAAAATTAATTTTAGATGTTCAATTTAATGAAATAATAACAGCGAGCTAGCATGGCGATACTAGCTATAAACTAGACTAGATAGCAACCCCGGCGACGCCTGCATTCTTAGTTTTAATAGTATTGTTTAGATTTTTTATAATCATTTTATCATATTTAATTTACTTAACAATTTTTTTTTTTCTATATATTTGACTATTATGATGAAATAGTATGTAGTAGTTGTTTTTGTTGAAAGCTCCTTTTTTATTATTATTATTATTATTATTATTATTATTATTATTATTATTATTGTCTTCTTCAAAGAGCAACTTTAAAAATGAGTTTTTATTTAGTTTTTGTTCGACTTTTTTGTGATGTGGAGGAGAGAGAGTGTTGAGTTCTGATCAAGAAAGACTACAAGTGGCATGGACGGCACCTATAAATCTAGGACACAAATGGAATTAATTCAATAATACAGGCATTAAGTTATACAAACTCAAAAGCCCTGTGTGATAAATGGCTGTTAGCTGATAGCAATTAGCTGATCGGGTTAGAGGATATGACTAGTTGATAACATTAACGAGTTGTAGAAATGTGTTTGGTAAATGAGCTATTAACTGATAGCGATTTGGTATAAATTTTTTTTTTTCTCAAAAAGATAACTGACTTTTTGAATTTTAATTAGCATTTTGGAGTTACAAAAAGATGATTAACCAAATAATACTTATATTGATTTTTAATCAAGTCAAACTAATAATGGTCACATAAGCCAAAATTAACGAATAAGGTAACTATTTTACCAAAAAAAAAAAAAACCAAAGAGTTTGAAGTTTTAAGACTTGAAGAGGCTATTTTGCCGATCAAGTATACCACAACCTTTTCCTAGAATTAGATATTAGATATACAAAACTATGAACTTCAATTCTTATCTGATCTCTTCCTTAACAACCCACCCGCCCACGGCTTCCACCACCGCTACTCAAAGCTGGCGGTGAAATTGCTTTCCTGCTTGCTTTAACGCATTACGCATGCATGAAGCTAAGGAAGCCAATTCAACTCTAAACACATTTCTCCATTCTAAATTTAACCTGAGAGTGAAAGAGACAAACAGCAACAACGTCACCCCCACGCCAAACACCTTCTACTACCTAAGCTACGTGTCTGCAGTTTGGCTAATTAACTCCGATCCCTCTTCAAATTAAAACCCAACACTCTCACCCTCCTCAGCTTCTGCATTGCGAGAAATCCATCCACCAACACATATCCTCTCCAAAATTTTCTTCCCTTTTCCCGGCCGGCTTCTTTGTAAGAAATGGCAGAAAATCAGGTGGCGCAAATCCCAAGCAGCAGCAGCAGCTCCAACACCACCCGCCGTTCCCGCTCTATCTACGGCAGTGAGCGGGATTTGGAGTCAGCTTCGTCGCTTTTTTGCCGTATCTGCCTTGACACTCACTGCAGAGAAGGCGACGAACTCATAGCTCCTTGCCGCTGTAAAGGCTCCCAAGAGTTCATCCACAGGGAATGCTTAGACCGGTGGAGATCTGTCGGAGTGAGCCAGCAATATACTTCTTATTCCTACACATACATATTGTTGCAATTCAGTTTAAACGATTATATATATAATTGTATTGCAGGAAGGTTTTGCTTTCACCCACTGCTCCACTTGTAAAGCAGCATTTCGATTACAAGTGAAAGAGGTGAAATATGACATTGTCACAAGGGTAAAGCACAAGCTCTTTGTGGTCAAGGATTTTTTTGTTCATTTCCTGATTTCTCAAGCAGTAAGTATAATAACGTTTCTTTCTACATTTTCCTAGCTTCATAAACTCTACCTTTCATGTTTCATCCTATACTAGCTAGCTCAGTAGATGTACCTATATATATATATATATATATGATTCTTATGAATTCTTATTTCTCCCCAGCTAATTGTAGTGCTTGGTGGGTATATATACATTGTGGATCACGAGGGAATGATTCACAAGGCTGTTGATAAGTATTTGAGCTTCTTGTCTTCACAATCCTCTATTTCCTTCTACTACAGCATGGGTAAGCATATATATTTTTCATCATATCCCTAACTTTCCTTATCAAAATATGTGAAAATACTTAAGTGAGACTAAACCTCTACTATTTGACTATCTTTTATGGTAGAGTAGAAGTCTCAATTCTCTTGTTGAAAGGTTGGTATTAGCAGCTTTAATTTTCTATATAACTGTTTAGTCTGATGATATAAATGAAACAGGAGCACTGGTCTTCCTTCTTGTCTTGGGATGTTATTGTTTCTTAAAAACTTGCATTTCCCTTGCTAATTTGGACCAACGTATAGCCGGCTGCCAAAACTGTTTCCTGGCCATGTTGATGTGGAATTGCTTTCCTGCTACAATTGTCATCATTGTTACCATATATGTCTTTGTTTTCTGTGGTATTGCATATGGTTTGTTTCTTGCTATCACAGTTGTACATAAGAGTTGGCACAAGCACTATCAAATCCTCATGAAACAGGATCTTACCAAGGTTTAATACGAATGTAAATTTTTTCAAAAGATGTATCATAGTCCATTTAAATAATATTATTTTTATTTCAATTCTTTCTCTTAAATGTTACAGGTGTACATAGTGGTGGATCAACATGGCCATTATACCCCACCAAAACTAGATCCGAGACATGAACAACACCTTCGATCTCTTCATCTATTGTAGAGGGTAGGTGATATTTGACGGCCCCAAATACCTTACACATATATGGCTTTTGAAGTCATTTGTATGCATGCTTTTTGCGGATGTTACGTTGCTCACCATTGTATATATATTTTAATATTTCGCCCAATGAAATAAATTATTTCTTCATTGTTTAACCTTATTTTACAATACAACTATTGAATATATATACCAACTCATTGTATGGTTTCCTTATTTCTAGATTATATACCATGAGTTGTTTTCCTTTGACAACATAACCTCTTAATAATGTGTAGTAAATAGAAAGATTGTGATCGAGAAAGAAGCAAAAATCAACATCACCCACCACTGCCTTTTAATGACAACTTAATTGGTCTTCAAAGCCTAATAACACTCTCAATCTTAGACTCTGCATTTTCCTAATCAGCTATAAGTGTCATAATTTTGACATATTAATTAGGAATATGCTCATTAAGATTGCTAAATTGTGTCTATTCCAAAATTAATTTTAAATGTTTTATTAAATGAAATAATAACAATGAGCTAGAATGGCTATTCTAGCTATAAACTAGATTGCAATTCCGGTGATGCCTGCCGTCTTATTTTTAATTAGTAGTATTGTTTAGTTTATTGATAATCATTTTATTGCTTTTACTTAACATTTTTTTTTAATATTTTATTATTATAACGAAGTATCAGCTAGTAGTCGTTGGTGTTGAAAGTTTTTTTTTTTTTTTTTTTTTTTTTTTTTTTTTTTTTGAGAAAATAAATTATATAGAGACACACACAACATATAATTCAAATATCTTGTTCTCATTTCCTTCCCAACATACCTTCCCAACATATATAATCCAATTCAAACCAACAATAATATAAATAATTTATCAAAAGTATATTTAACTAATAATCCATTCTATCCTTCAATAATATAAATATCCATATTACAACATAGTTTTAGAAATGGCATCTCCATCCGCAGGAGTTCAGCTGGTGCAAATCCTAACCCCATGCTATGTTCCCGCGCGCTCTATCTGTAGTAGTGAGTCATTGTTGAGCCAGACTTGGAGTCTGGTTCATCGGTTTGTTGCAGAATCTGACTTGAAAACGACATCAAAGAAGTTATTGATAAATTGATTGAATATCATATTGCATTTGCTCGAGTACTTGTCTTACACATCCTTTTCATGTATCCCAACTCTTCTCTTACTTGCCGGCGCTAAACTCATAACTCCTCACCTCTGCAAAGGCATGCAGGACTTCATCCACAGGGAATGCTTAAACCACTGGAGAGCTATAAAAGTGAGCAATTCCTATTCATACATATGGGACCCGGAACAAAGCGGTGGTAGGATGCAATAGCCCGCACACTAGCAATCATGGTTGCACACTTCCATGGGACAAACAACGAAACGTGCAATTCCCGTGCACATCATGTGCATGTGTTTTTGGGATGTCATACAAGGATGTAGGGAAAAGTGGCATGTGGTGGGGCGTTAACTACTCCTCCAATTACACATAGTGGTGGATCAGCATGGCCATTATTCCCTGCTAGCACTAGATCCTAGACATGAACAACAACTTTAAACTCTAAATCCTTTGTAGGTGGAGTTATTATTTGAAGGCTTCAAATACCTTGCAAATAGCTTATTTCATTTGTATGGTTTTTGGGTTTTTGGTGACCATTGTATATTTTAATCATTCATCTAGTGAACTCAATGATATTTCTTTCACTATAGGCGTATGTTTCTTCAAGAAACTCATAAAATTTGGTGAAGAAATTTGCCAGGCAGATTGTGCATCAATTGGACCATGTTTTTGGCAAAAAAATAAAAAATAAAGGAATAAGGGTCAAATAGGACATCAAACAGCACACGATAATGCAATTAGGCCATTGAACTTAAAAAAAAACCACAATTAAATTCCTAAACTAACCAATTTGATACAATTAGTCTAATTTGTAGGTTTTCCAAGTTTCTAACAGGTCACCAAAATTTTAAAATATTATTTAAAAATAATTATTTAAAATATATAATTAAAAAAAACATAGCTTAGTCTATCTCCTCTCCGGCGAACTGCTGTGGCGATGGCGGCTGGACAGCAGCAAGGTAGCAACGGTGGTGGATGGCGACAATGCAGTGGTAGTCCCCCTTCTCCGGCGTACTCCTTGCAGCGGCGAGCAACAGTGGCGATGGCAGCAACCTTCGTCAACCAACTGCAGCAGATCGGCGGCGGATCCAAGTAACTAGTAACAGCAGCAACGGCTAGGCAAGAAACGGTATCAAATGCTTGGGTCCGGAAGACCTCCAATGAGACTTCCCTCCGGCGAGCGGAGAAACGGCTGGGCAGCAGTAGATCGACTCAGGAGACCGGCGGCGGTGGCTTTCCCTCTCATCGACGACGGCTGGAGCTATGGCAGATGGTAGCAGTCCAGCGACCTTCTCCGGCGTAGCTGTTTTCCCCAGCAGCAAGAAGCAGCAGCGACGTCCTCCTCCTGCGAAGCTTCCCGGCGGGCAGTGGTGGTAGACAGCGGCACGGCTGGATTTCGGAGAGGAGACGAAGACTAAGCTCCAGTTTTTTTTTTTTATATATATATTTTAAATAATTATTTTCAATGATTATTTAAAAAAAAATATTTTAAACTTTTGGTGACCTGTTAAGAAACCTGCAAAACCTACAAATCAGATTAATTACATAAAATTGGTTAGTTTAGGGATCCAATTGTAGTTTTTTTAGGTTCGGTGGCCTAATTGTATTATCGTGTGCAGTTCGATGGCCTATTTGATCCTTAATCAGTGGGAAACTAATCTAAATGATCCAAATTTCGTGGCTTAGCTTGATATAAATCAAATGAAGCTAAACTTAAGCCATTAAGGCAAATAAATTCTCATTTAGTATAGTTTTAATGTTATTCATTTTCTTTATTTACTTTATTTTAGGTTACATATATGCATGTTTAGGAGAAATGAATGTCATTCATTGCCTTGTAATAGAGTCCTTTGATCTCTTTGAGAGTGTTGTATTTTAGCCTATTTAAAGGCTGAACACAAGGAGGGATGGAGATAGATGATTGAAGTTGAATCCAAAAAAAAAAAAAATGTTTAGGCATTTTATTGTCTCTCTTATATGTTGAGAAATGTTCTTCTAGGCTTATCAAGATAATTACCAATCTTGTGGTGTCATCCATTCCTCATCATCTAAGACCAAGGTGTGGCGGAAATATCGTTATAAGAAAACACAAAAAATTCTCTTCCCAAACCCAGCCAAATTCCATCTCCAACCCCTCAAACCGTATTTCTTGTTCATGTTGATTTTGTGAGGAAAAGATCGGGCATTCAGAGGATTCTTTGGCGAATCAATTCTCTAGTTCATCCCCAAAGATCCGTATCAGTTTGGCATCAGAGCACATGGTTTATTCCTCACAAAAAAATCAGATCATGAAAAACACTCCTTTCTTTAATGCATGCTCAATTCAGTTTCTATCAAAAAATTTTAAACTTCACAGTTTGAAACAAAAATTCAAAAACAAATACTTCCACATATCTGATTGCATTGAAATTTTATTTGGAAGTAGCCAACCTACCATTCTATTGTTTCATCAAAGTTTTGTGTAGAAATCGTACTCCTAGAAACACAAAAAATTCTTTGAATTCAACACAACCATAAGATTTTGCCCAAAAAATTGTTTTCATGTACAGTTCAAAAGAAAATTTTAGGAAAAATACTTCCACCTATATTTTTGTCTTAAAACTTTTTATGGTTGAACCCAACTCATAGTTCTTGCTAACAATAATAAAATTTGGGTCAAAATATCATCCGAAACACGTCAATTTTTTTTCAAAGTCACACTAAAAAAACTATCCAGATATGTTTCTTATACCCTTCCATGTGCTTTCTTGTATTGTGATCATTGATTCTACTCTTCCATGAAGCCTTTTGAGTTAAATACACTTCAACAAGGATCACTCACTATGGAAGAATTCTACAACAAGTTAAGAGATTTGATGATTCAAGATGGGAAGATTGAGAAAGTTGTAATTATCAAGAATAGATTTCTGTATGGTGTTAAGAAAGAAATTGCACAATTGCTTCCTCATTGGTGCAAGTGCTTGCTTGTATACTTTGCTATACCATGCCAAACAAATTGAAGAAAGATTGCAACAAAAATAGGTCGAGAATTCGACGTCTATTTCCTTGTCATATGATGAGAGCTCAAAAGAAATGATTGAATATGTAAACATGTGTGAACAAGAATGTGAAAACAAATATCAGGAATGTTTGAGTGAAAAGGAAGAAGAGATTGAGAAAAAAGGTGAAAATAAGGAAGTAGAATTGTGTTTTGAACCTTGCAGGAAAAAGAATGAGGGAGAAGATTTTGAGAACCATATAACCCCGGTTTTAAGTTCATTGCAGGGTTTATGGATGTAATTCAATTGTTGAGAATAGGTTGGAAGGGATGACAAAATGGCATCAAAAGTTAAATGCATTTGGGCTATTGTTGTTCGAAGTTCAAGGAGGCAGGGGTTCACTCACTTTCTCTAATGAAGATATTCAATTAATATGGTGGGAAATTTACTCATTTTCATTTGACTGAGCCAAGTGTGATTCGAAGATGAATCTTCTCAAAGAGTAAGGAAATGAGGAGGACACACCCATAGCAATTAAAAATTCCAATAAAGCAAGTGCATCTAAAAAAAAACGGAGGGGACAATTTAAATGTGCCATACAATACCAAGAAACTCAAAAAATTAAGGCATGTGCAAAATTGGTGAAGAAATTTTTCTGGCTGATTGTGCATCAAGTGGACCAACCTTTTAGCAATAAAATCAATGGGAAACTAATCT